GGATACTGAAGTGACTGAAACCCCCTCAGGCTTGGCCCTCACTGAGCCCCAAGTCTCATGGAGGGAACAGATATCAAAGAATTTCTCAGATAAACCAGGAAGACCAGTGCCAAGAGGGTACATTTGAGCTACCTGGGAAGTCATGGAAAAGGCTTCCAGGAAGTAGTGACATCTGAGTGCAGCACTGACACAGCTCACAGACCTGGGTCCCTATCCTGCCTACCTCTGACAGGCTGTGCGAGGGCACCTGAAGCAACCCTGCTTCTCCCTGGGCCTCAGTCCCCACCCCGTCAGGTGAGGCAATAACCCCAGGGAGATCTGGAGCGCTGCAGCAAGTGCGCAGAAGTTGCTGGGAGGGAGGCTCTCTCTGCCCATTAGCTGAAGGGTCCCCCAGGTTGGGACAGGCCCAGCTCACCTCAGCAGAAAGCAGCTGAGTGCAACCTTGGGCCTCCTCCCACCTGGGTTCAAATCTGCACCACCTACCTGCTGTGAGGTCTGGGGTAAGTGGCTTCATGGCTCTGTCCTCAGCTTCCTCACCAGTGGGATGGGATCTAAGAGTATCTACCCCATTGGGACACTGTGAGGACTGGCAGGGGTAGTACTCAGGACAATACCTGACACACAGTTGCCACTCCGTAAGTGCTGCCCTCCTCCTTTCTGCCCTCTCTGAGCAGCTCTTGCTGGCCCAGGGCATTCCCAGGGGGATTCCAGTTGGCTGCGGCCTGAGAACTGCGCTCACAGATGGATTTTCCATTGTTCCCTGCTGCTCCAATCCCCCACCTTAGTAGCCCTCAGGCTGGGTCACCCCTTATTCTGGGCTGTGGGTGCCAGATGGTAACCATGGTCACACATAGTTAGCAACTTACCATTTATGGACTGGATTAATATTTTTAAAATCTTAAAGGATTTACACAAACAAAACCCCATGGAATCCTCACCACAGTCCTGGTAAACTGAGACCCCACAGATGAGGCCTGAGGCTCAGGGAGAAGCAGCAGACCCCAGGTTACATAGGTTACACAGGTCACACGCAGCAAAGCTGGCAGGTGCTCTTGCTCTCCTGCTTGCTTTCCCCTTCCATCAGACAGCCCAGCTGTCCTCCTTCCAGCTTCTCATGCCCCTCCCAGGGCCTCGGGGGGCTGGGGAGGCTGGCCTCCATCTCTCACCAGCCTCTTGCCAAACGTGGCTCTCCACTGTTTCTGCTGTAGGGCCTGGAGCTGTGTCGAGTGGTGGCCGTGCACGTGGAGAACCTGCTCAGTGCCAGGGAGAAGCAGCTCACGCTGCCCCCCAGTGAGATCACACTGCTTTGACCTGGGCCCCAGCCCTGCAGCTAGCCTCTGCCGGAAGGCTTGCTCTGTGGACCCAGGAGAGTCACTGGGTCTCTCTGGGCCAGTTACCCCTGTAAGGACCAAAACCTTGGGGGAGACCAAGAGGTGGCAGGAGGAATGACCCAAGTCCCCAGGAACCCAAGACCCATCTAGAGTTTGGATGGAGTCAAAACATACAATCTTGGGTCAGATAGCAGGAGGAACTTCCATAGTCTGCCCCATGGGGCCTCCCACCACATACACACTGCAGGCCCTGCCCAACTCCCACCTGTGTCAGGGAAGCCACAAACCTGGATGAACTGGACTGTGCCTTTGGTGTGATGCATGTGATGTTCAAATTTGCTCCACATCTCAGCTCCTCACCTGTCCTTGGGTGCTGGCTGCACTGCCACTCAGCTTGGATTCATGACCCTTGGTCATTCCCGTGCAAATAAAAGTGCACCTAGCACCCGTTCCTCCATGGAGTTGCTGGGGGGCTGGAAAACAAGTCTGAGGGAGGGGGCAGGAGTTGGAGGCCTAGTCGTGCCTGACTCACTGCCAGTGAACAGAACTTGTAGCAGAGACATCTGTCCTTACCTCTCCCTGCAGGCCCATGTCCCCTCTCCATACTCTTTGGGTAGCCCCAACCCGACCCCCATCCCTGGATGGGCCACACAGCAGTGGTATAGTGGAGAGAGACATTTCATTGCAGGGGCTGGGGAAAGAGGAGTCTGGGAAAGAGCTTCCCAGAGAATAGGACTTTGCTGTTGGGTTTTGAAGGATGAGTAGAAGTTTGCTAGGAATAGGTGGAGTGGAGGGGAATGAACATTCCAGAGAAAATTGTGTTTGCTCCCTACTATATACCCCAGAGCCTAGGACAATGCCTAACACAAAGAAAGTCTTGAAAAATACTTGTCATATGAATAAAAAAAAATGTTGATGGGAACTGCTGGTGTTTGGGGGATACTGGGGAAGGGGAGCACTAGACTTGAGAGAGGAAGTCTGGATAAGTGGGGGGCACATAATTGGCTGGAGCCATGGTGTCCGAGGAAGGATTTATTTACTTCACATATTAAGCACCTACTGTGTAGGGACTGGGAGTAGCTCACAGTCAAATTATAAACCAGGACAAAACCTGTAAGTGGGAATCAGCTAGGCGATAAAAGGAGGAAACAGCACATGCAGGAACTAGGAGTGGATGTAACTAGTGACAAGACTGGAGACTAGAGGGAGGCTGGCAGAGGTAGACTGGCTAAGGCTTTGCAGACTATGCAAGATTTCCTCCCAAAAGCCAGAAAGAGCCTTCAAAGGTTTTTTTCACTGGGGTGGGACAACGTGCTCAGATTGTATTTTGAAAAGGTCACTCTGACCACAAAGCTAAGTGGATGCAGGGGGACCAGAGCAGAAGCTGCTGCAGTGTCAGCTGGGAAACTATGGTGTGGACACCTGTGGCAGTGACAGGGCTGGGAGAAGTTAACTTGGGAGAGATTTAGGAGGTCTGATGGGCAGGACTAGGGATCACTCAGACCATCCTGAGGCAGGGAGGGTTGAGGAAGAGATACCACAGGAATGTCCCACTTCCACCAGCGCCTCAGGCTGGCTTCCTCCAGAAGCCCCAAGATGAAGAATCAATCCACTACACACAGCTGATTTGGGAGGTAAGGGAAGTGGGGAAGAGCCATAAAGAGCTGTCCCTGCTGCAGTAGGTCTGCCCAGGTGAAAGTGAAGAGGCCTTTTGGGTTTCAGAATATGAGGAGGATGAATGAGTGAAGCCACCTGGAAGTGAAACCTCCAGGTCAAGCCATCCTAGCTGATGCACACAGAACTGAGGGGAACCTCCTGACTGAACCCTGGCCAGACTGCAGGTCTGCAAGCTGGATAAATGACTTGAGGTCTCAGTTTTGGGGTGTTTTGTTACAGAGCATTGGCTAAGCAAAATATCAGAGTTTTTAGATTTCATTTCAGGACCTGGGCGTTAAGGCATAGGGCTCATGCTTTAACAGCTGTTCTGGTGACTCTGGCATCAGAGTTGAGCCCTCTTAAGAAGAGGTAACAATCCCCATGAGGCAGACTGGAAAGAGTTAGGGGTGGCAGGAGAGTCAGACCCTGCTGTGTCCCCCAGACTCTGGCATCAGAGTTGAGCCCTCTTAAGAAGAGGTAACAATCCCCATGAGGCAGACTGGAAAGAGTTAGGGGTGGCAGGAGAGTCAGACCCTGCTGTGTCCCCCAGACTCTTCCTGTTGGGCCTCCCTACCTGAGCCAAGACCTAGAGAAACAGGAACTCCAGGTTGGTGTGGGGAGATCCAAAGAAGGACTGAGCCCCAGGGTTTACAGCCTACCATGGAGTGAGAACAACACAGGATAAATGTCTGGGTGACCTGGTAGCCTGAGACAACTGGTGAAAGCTTGGGATCCCAGAGTAGCGAGATGCACCATAACTGCATGCTGAAAAATAATGGGAAGGACTTTATCATTGCTCCTATGTGGGACAGGGGGTTGGGCTTGGCCAGGTTCCAGTGTCCACATACACACCACCCTGGTCTTCCCTTGCACAGAGGTGCCTCCTTCTGCCCAGAATCCTCCAAACTCTTCAAAAACTCTTGGGTTGATAGTTAAAGGCCCAGGCTGTGGACCCAGAAAGGCCTATGTTCAAATTCCACATATGTATGCTGGTTTGCTGTGTGGCCTTTTGCAAGTGACCAGGCAGGGGGCTTGGGGATAGTGCCCAGGGTTCCAAAATTCCCCATTCCGCAGACTCTGATGTTTTGACTTTGTCAAATGGCTACACAACAACCTCCACCTCCCAACAGGGACTGGTAGGACCCTCAGTTTACAGATGCAGAAACTGAAACCCAGACTCAGGATCAGCAATCCTCTGCCTTATATGACTTCAATTCATCCTCACAACTATCATATGAGGTGGGTACTAATGTTCCTCCCACTTTACAGACCAGAAGACTGAGGTTCAGAAAGGGAAGTCACTTGCCCAAGGTCATACAGCCTGTCAGGAGGTCAAAAGTCAAATCCAGAGTCTATGCTTATGCCCCAAAACACTATGGGTGGGGAGGGGAGACACACTGGCTAAGAGCAGAACGGCCAGGGAGTTGAGGTTGAAGGCAGACGCAGAGATCAGATCGTGAAACTTAATATGCATATTATTGCAGTGAAAACCTGAGAAGTGTGCTGGAAAGAAGTGAACTGAAATTAGAAAAAAACAAAACAAAACGTGGAAGCACCAGCTTGGGTAAAGGTAAAGGCCAGGAGGTATGACAGGGTATGTCTGCAGACCTGATAGTGTCAGGGGGCGAGTCTAAGGCTCAGTGTTCACGAAAAAGGGCAGAAAAGGTCTTCAAGAAAGGCTCTGAACGCCAAGCAAAGCAGATGAACAAGGCTGGGCAGAAACCACTATCTATGGACCCGCCCCTGCGCACCCTGAATCGCTACGTCTTTGATCGCGCCGAGAACCCTGACGCACGCTTCAAAAACTTTGAATTGTCTCTAGTAATAATCTATAGTTTTGCCTTATCCGTGAGCCACTTGTCCCTTTTAGTTTTCGGGCGTTCGCGAAAGACCTGCCCCCAACCCCATCTCCAAAAACTAAGCCAAACCCGAAGCATCCCCCGACTGCGCATGCACCCACCGCCACCCGGACGTGACTCGTGGAACGTCCGCTCCCGGCAGCGGTGGGGTGGGTAGCGGTCATTGAGGCGCCCGGTCAATGAATCCAGGTTCTGTGAACATCGTTGTCTGAGTTCAGAACTGGGACTCAGGGCTCTTGGCTCCATATTTTCAGAAGTTTTTTAAGAGTCTGAAAGCTTTCTTCCAGTGAGAGCTTCACTCAGGCACTTACTTAGCCACCTATTCGCCCTTCGGAGGCCCTCCCCGTCGCTAAATACGTTAAGGATGATGTAGCCAAGGCGACCGCCTGATTGACAAGTATGATTACCAACCACCTTCAGGAAGCCCCGTCTGGGCCCGCCTAGCCCGTGGCTGGTGGCCCTTGAAAGAAGTGAAAGCGCCAAAAGGGACGGTTACCGACAGCTTAGGTTGTCGAGAGCTGAGGCATTTTCAAACAGTCGGACGATGCCGTGACGCAGCATAGCGACAGCGTTGGCAGTGTGAGCGCACCCCTGTGGAGGGAGCCCTTCGACCGCGGAGGTGGCACGGCGTGGAAGCAGGTTGCTATTTGAGGGTGCTCCCTTGGAGTCCTAGAGTGGGGGAGGGGTGGACGAGGAGCTGTTCCAGTCTGCGCTTGCGCATACATCTCGGCTGACCCGGCCCGCACGCTCGCGCATGCCCGCTGACAGCGGAGCCGCGGTGGCTGGCGTCACTGCGCGTGCGCGTTGACGAGTTTTCTGAGGAGCGGCGTTGGCGGACGTCGAGCGAGCGGTGCGTGACGTCGTGAGGAGCTCTTTAAAGTGCAGGCTAGGTCGGGTGTCGGAGGGGCTGGCCGGGAGTCAAGCGGATCCTGCGCAGTGGCCCTCCGCGGCATGAGGTGCTGCTGGTTCCCCTGCTGCCCGGGACGTGGAGAAGGTGGAGGAGGAGGAAGCACCGTAGCCCCCACCGCTGCATGACCCGCCGCCTCTGAGGCTCGACCCAGCACCTGGTCTTTTGACTTCCCCCGGCGGGTCCTCGCATGGGGGCCTGACGCTGAGGACCCCCTTTTCTTCGGGGGCCCCAGGGCACGTCCCCGAGAGCCATGCCCAGCCGCCCTGCCCGCCCCGAAGGACCCTAAGCAGCGTTGCGGGGCTATGGCGGCCGCCAGCGGTTACACAGACCTGCGTGAAAAGCTGAAGTCAATGACGTCTCGAGACAACTATAAGGCGGGCAGCCGGGAGGCAGCGGCGGCGGCCGCCGCCGCTGTGGCTGCCGCCGCCGCAGCCGCGGCTGCCGCTGAGCCTTACCCGGTGTCGGGGGCCAAGCGCAAGTACCAGGAAGACTCGGACCCCGAGCGCAGCGACTACGAGGAGCAGCAGCTGCAGAAGGAGGAGGAGGCGCGCAAGGTGAAGAGCGGCATCCGGCAGATGCGCCTCTTCAGCCTGGACGAGTGCGCCAAGATTGAGGCCCGCATCGACGAAGTGGTGTCCCGTGCCGAGAAGGGCCTGTACAATGAGCACACGGTGGACCGGGCTCCACTGCGCAACAAGTATTTCTTCGGCGAGGGCTACACGTATGGTGCCCAGCTGCAGAAGCGCGGGCCTGGCCAGGAGCGTCTCTACCCGCCAGGCGACGTGGATGAGATCCCCGAGTGGGTGCACCAGCTGGTGATCCAGAAGCTGGTGGAGCACCGCGTCATCCCCGAGGGCTTCGTCAACAGTGCCGTCATCAACGACTACCAGCCCGGTGGCTGCATCGTGTCCCACGTGGACCCCATCCATATCTTCGAGCGCCCCATCGTGTCTGTGTCCTTTTTTAGCGACTCTGCGCTCTGCTTCGGCTGCAAGTTCCAGTTCAAGCCTATTCGGGTGTCGGAACCTGTGCTTTCCCTGCCAGTGCGCAGGGGGAGTGTGACTGTGCTCAGGTAACCCACCTGGGAGGAGAGGGCGGGCCTGCTGCTTTAACTGCCTACCGTGACCCAGGTGGCAGGAGTCAGTTGGAGCCTGCACTTTACAGTTCTAAGCCGTTCAGAGGTCTGCGTTTAAAACATGCAGTATGAAAGCAGGGAAGGGTCAGGGAACCATCTAGATTCTGTATCCCGAGGGTAGGTTTGATGTGATCATGGGCATGATTGAGAATCTTTACAGAAGACTAAGTAAGGTTTTAGGAATCTGTGTTTTTTAGCAAGTCACTTTTATTTTGGAGCTTCGATTTTTTGAAAAATGAGTTGAACTTACCATTTCAAAATCTTTCCAACTCGGTGTTCGTGGTTTCCTTAACAGAGAAAGTGTTCTTGGATTTCTTAACAGAAAATACGGAGGAAGGCCCGTGAGCATATTTAATTGCTACACATTTTCCATTCCCAAGACGGGGACTGACTTCCCTGGAATTGAACGGAGTTGTGTTTGGGCCAGGCATAGAGTGCAGCCCACACTTAAAGTTCAGTCCCTGTGGGTGAAGTAGAGCCTATTGGTCCTTTGTAAGAATGTGTTACCTGTTACCAGGATTAAATGAAACAAAATAAAACTGGTCTCTTTACCTCTAATTTGTAGTCTCTTTACCTGGAATTTGTAGTTATGTCAGCAGCAGAACTTAGGTTCTTGACCTCTTTTGGGCCTGAGATTCTGCTGAGAATTAGTCATTGCCCCCCAGAGAGGATTGCCTGCCGGAACTCCTTTGCTGTTTATATGAAGCAAAACATGTACGTGGTAGCTGCCTCCTTCTAGTCCTGAAACAGGTAAATCTAGCAGTGTACTTCAGTAATTCCCAAAACTTTTTAGGAGGTGTAGTCTTCAGCTCTTCAGAGTGGGTTGATTGACCACAAGATTCTGTTGTGGGATCAGGACACGCCGAGGTTTTGCTGTAAGCAGTTTAATCTCTGAAGTGCAGGCAGTGTGGTATAGCCCATGATCAAGGGGGGAAGCAGGGTCCCTGGAGCCCTCTTTATATCAGGAGCAGGTCGTCTAATTTGAGTTGAACAGCTGAAGCTGCTTCCATATCTGGAATGGCATCAGAACCTTGTGATACCCAAGGCCTTCTGTTGGGAAATTTTGGGAAGTCAGTCACAGCAGAAGCAGTACTTAGGCTTTCTAATGTGTCAGTTGCCTCTTTGTCATTAGGGCTTCTCAGCTCCTCCTCAGTCCTATACGTGGTGTTCCCAGACTGATGTCTTAGCAGAGCCCTTTAGGATGTGATTTCCAGAGCAGCCCCTCTCAAGTGGTTTGCTGTGGAAGACAGCTTGGTGTCTGACTTCATTGAAGGGTACTAGATGCTGAAAGGACCTCATACAAGGGCCATTTGGTCTCTTAATAGGATGTTAATTTTCATATAGTCACAGACCCTTAGGGTTGTTATCAGAAGGTCTAACAGTAGTTAGGTGTGTAATGAGATCACAAAGGGCAGTTTGTGACTTTGAGACTCCTGCACCTTGGTATACATGGACACCCCTGTATTGAAGAGCAAAGTTTCATGTTCTTAAAGTGCAGGTCTGGGGAACGCTTTGTGAAGTGAATGAATTATCTAACCACTATACTGTACACCTGAAATCAATATAAAATAGTACTGGAAGTAAATTGTAATTGAAAAATAAAAAAAAAATTTAAGTAGGTCTATTAGTGAACAGTAATGCAATCTTTTCTTTAGAATAGTAAAGTCCTAAAGTTTTCCTAGTCCTGCCCCCTCCACCTGGCCATTCTGACTTGGCTGTACAGTTAGTGTAGGAGGCTTAACCATGTCCTGAAAAGTGCTGCCCCAGGCTTTGAATCCAACCGTCATTTGCTTTGGGATCTCCTGGGCGTCCTCTGTCCTGGCTTTCTCATCTGTAAAGTGGAGGTGGGGATGATGCCAACATCCAAACCCTATTAGAATTAAATGATTTGGTGTATGATACAGGACCTGGCAGTTAAATGGGTACTTGCTTCTGTGCAGTCATTTAATGATTCTCTGCCCTTACTCTTTGGAGAAGGGGCTAGGGATTTGGTGGAGCCTAAAACATGGCTTTTCCCTTCATGGAATTTGCAAGGCAGTGGAGACTGCAGACAGTTATAGCTCAGGAAGTTAACTGCAGGAGCATGTTGAGCAGGGAGAAGGGACATCTTGACCCATTCTGGGATGTTGGAAGTTTTGAGGGGGTAAGTAAGTTGGAACTGGAAGGGTGAATAGGAGTTAGCCAAGCAAATGAGGCTTTGGCCGCAGTAGCAGGGAATAGCCATAGGTAAGGGGCATGGTTAGATGCTGCCTTGGGGGAGGTGAAGTTATTAGTCCTTACCTCCAGCCTGGACCTGAAGTAGCAAGTCTGGTGAGGCATGCCTTGGTAAAGCTCTAGATCAAAGCTTCTCAATGGCAGTACTGTTGACTTTTGGGGTGGCTAATTCTTTGTTGTGCTGGGGCCGACGTATGTATTTTAGAATGTTGAGCAGTATCACTGGCCTTTATCCACTAGATGGCCACTAACACCTATAACAGTCAAAAGTATCACCAGATATTACCAAATTTCCTTTAGGGATTGCAGAATCATCTCCAGTTGTGAACCATTGCTCCTGGGTTCTGAACACCCCCACTAATTTAAATCTTATAGCACCTGCTCACTTAGCACTCTCAGCTTACTTGGTGTGCAGGTGGGTGAACACCTGCTTGTTAGTAGTGGTTCTCTTCAAATCCTGCTTGGGTTCTAACCCAAGGTGGTAAAAAGGTGAAGGTTTCTTTCACTTCCTAGTGTGTGTCCCAGCCCAGGGGTGAGGAGGAGTTGTGATACAAGGCTGCCATTGGAAGGGAACTGCTGATGAAGAGTGGTTCTCTGCAGATGGGGAAGGGTTCTAGGCATTCTTATCTGAGTCAGACTTCATTTGTTTGTGGCAGTATCTATACCTGTCCAAGCCAACATGGCCGGAATATACTTTTTTTTTTTTAAGATTTTATTTTTGGAGAAAGAGGGAGAAAAACATCAAGGGCAGTTGCCTCTTACGCACCCCCAACTAGGGACCTAGTCTGCAACCCAGGCATGTGCCTTGGCCAGGAATTGAACCAGCAACCCTTTGGTTCGTAGGCTGGCATTTTAATCTACTGAGCCACATCTGCCAGGGCCAGAATACACTCATATTAATAGTTGTCGCCATGGATATTAGTGTGTGTCACACATTGACTCAACAGTGTTCCAATGTGGGCATTTAGAGCAAGGTTTCATAGACCCTTCTGTAAGTGCTGCAGACTTCTTTCCAAACTGAATCAGCAGTTGTTTCTTTTTTTTTGTAACTTTCCCCTGTTGGGCTTGGGTGGATTCTCTGTGAATGCTGTTCTCTAGAGAACTAAATATATTTTACTTCTTCATACCGTACTCCTCCTCCTACTTCTTGTAGGGTGAATGGGCACATTAAAACATTTCAATCGGATTAATTAGAATGATTACCTCAAGGCTAATTGCTTACTTGCTGCTACGTTTAATCATTGCATGGTCAGTGGTTGTGGTGGCTACATGCCTGAGACCCAGGCCTTAGCCACCTGTCTGGAAATGACTATGGTATCTCACCCAGCCATAGGATACAAAGAGGTGAGCTCAGCCTGTGACTTCTAGTTCACAGTTGATATGGGGTGGAGTGGGCACTCCTGTCAGTTCTGGGCTAAGGGCTGATCTTATTCAGTTGGGTGAAAGCAAAATTTAGCTTTCTGGCTTAAAATAGTTGGGAAAGTAGGGCATATAGGCCTGGGCCACATCTCTTGTGTGGAATCTTTTGATTCCACGGGAGGGGAAGGAACGTCTCTATATGAAGTCAGGGCCATGCATTCTCAGGAGGAGCTCTGGGCCAGACCTTGCTTCTGCCAGGCCTGACAAAAAAGCAGATAGCAGCAAAGGAAAAGGAAGCTAGCAGAGAGCTGTAGTCTTAATCATGAAGCTAAGAGCAAGCAGAAAATAAACAGGCCATAAAAATTTCAGGGCCGGATGGCCATTTTTGGCTGGGTGGTTGGTGTGCAGCTGTTACCAAGGTATTGCTGAGGCCAGTGAGGCCCCAAGGACAGATTGGAGCCTGTCACCAGGAAACATAAATGCACTTTTCTTCCTACCCCTTATTACCTATTCCCTACCCACAATCAAAAACCAAAAATGTAGCATAGACACGGAAACCAAGAGTTCGATTGGCGTTCCAGTGTCGTCATCATAGTTGTTGGACCTTGAGCAGATTGCTTAACCTCTCTGGGACTTAAGTTTTCCTCTGCCAAATGGGCCTGTTAATACCGTGGAGTTGTTAGTGAAGTGTCTCCGGAGATGAGTTGCTTTCTGTGCTCACCTACTCTTTATCTCTACCTTGCTGTATACAGAATTGGGGCTTGGAGAAGGTTGATCTTCTTTATAGGGAGTCCCAGGACTTGTCAACAAAATTACGCCATGAGTCGTCTTGGAGGTTTGGGTCTAGAGCTCACAATCCCACCTTTGTGCCAGGTGGCTGGTCTGCTGCCTACAAAAAGCTTAAGCTTCTGAGCCATGCAGGCCTATCACTAGAGGCTGCCCGGAGTGGGTACCACCAGCCAGAGGGAGGCTGTCACAAGGCCAATATCTTGGCTGGTTCCTCCACTTCTGGTGTTGCCCTGTGCCAGGGAGGGCACAGTAGAAGGGCTAGGGGCCATTGTGGAAATGTGCCTTGACAACTCAGTCTCCAAGATGGTCCCCTACAGGATTTACAATCTCTTATTGAGTTACTCAGATTTCTCATTTAACCTGCACCAATCCTCTGAAGAACAACTTGCTATTTTGCAGATGGAGAAACTTTAAAAGCAGTGGAACAGTTGAGCTTAACACATTTTATTGTGTCCACTGTATGCAGAGATGAGTAAGAACTTAGTAAAGCTTTGTCTTGTAGGGAAGACATTTTCCACAAGACTGAATGTAATAATAGAGAGGTGTGGGTGGGCACTATAGGGGAGTCTTGTGCTAGGGAGATGGGGAAAACTTTCCAGGGGAGGAGACTCGAGAGTCACCCTAAAGCACAGAACTTGTGGACAACAGAGCCATGTTCTGTGGGTCTTTCTGCTGGCAGCATACTAGTCGCTGTTGCATGAGGGGACTCAACCCAGGCAGGCCGACCAGCATGCAGTACTATACCCCCCACCCCGAAAACAAAAGAGCAGGACGCACTGGAACTTTTCTTTATGCCAAGTAAGGCTGGACCCAGGCATATTAAGTTTCAGGTTGGCAGACCAGGACTTGCAAACAGTTTCTCTTGTAGCAAGTAGGTTCCTTAATAAATAACCCTCTGGTCTCTGCTGGACCCTTCCTGCTTAAGGTTGGCCAGAAGAACATCCCCTGCTCAGGACTTTGAGTTGCCTGCTCCCATAGGAGCCTGATACTTTAAGGGAGGGGTTTTAGTAGGCTGTGTCCCAGCTGCCAGGAAGTTCTAGGAGACCAGTGCTAATAAGCTTTTCAGGGGGCTCAGTAGCATGGTCATTTCTGTAGGCCTCTGCAGTCCCACCTTCTCACTAGTTCTGAGGCTTGGGCTCCATGGCAGGAACCTGGCATGGCTAATTTAACATTCTAGAGGCCTTTGGGGTGCATGGACTGTTAAGCTCTGATAAACATCTGGATTTTCTCCAGAACTGTATTAACGGAAGGGTTTCTTGTTGGAGATAGAAAATCAGGGCCATCGACAGTGCCTGTAGTAAAGTGGGATCAATAACACTAGTTAACAGTAGGGAAGGTGGCCTGTAAACAGTACTGCAGATTTAAGCCTTAGAAATGTGCCTTGGAGCACCTTTGGGGGATTGGATTTAGCTCTTTGAGGAAGTCCTGTGTTTCTATGGGACTGCCCTGCACTCCCTCAGTGTGGAGTAATAAGAACCTAGGAGGATACCTAAAGCTCTAGCCTTGGGAATAGGGCTGAGGAGGCCTCTGCTGCTCACAGATCCCTGCATGGGGAGCCTGGATCGAATCTTCTTGGCAGGTGCTGAACCCAAGGCTCTGGATTGCCCCAGGGTGGTCCAGGGCCCTCCTCTGGTTTGTGTCAGATATTTAGTAAATGGGAGTGGGATTCCAGGCACCCAGCATTATCTAACTTAATTCTCATAGCAGCTCTGCAGGGAGGCCTCTCACTGCTTCTTTCCAGGGATGCCAACCATGTAGTCATATAACTCTGTAATTCTGCCTGGAAGGGAGGAGGTACTGTTCCCCTTTTAAAATTTTATAACCAGCTCTGGCTGAGTAGCTCCATTGGTTAGAGCATCATCCTAATATGCAAAGGCTGCAGGTTCAGCCCTTTGTCAGGGTGTGTACCAGAATCAGCCAGTGAATGCATGAATGGATGAAACAACAAATCGATGTTTCTCTCCCACTCCCCCCTCCTAACTCTCCATAAAATCAATAAATATTTTTGAAGAATTTATTTATTTTTAGAGAGGGGAGGGGGAGAGGGAGAGACACATCAATGTGTGGTTGACTCTCAAGTGCCCCCCTTCCAGGAAACTGGCCCGCAACCCAGGCGTGTGCCCTGACTGAGAATGGAACCAGCAGCCCTTTGGTTCACAGGCTGGTGTAGCTCAATCAGTGGATTGAGCGCAGGCCTGCGAACCAGACAATCGCGGTTCGATTCCCAGTCAGGGCACATGCTTGGGTTGTAAGCCGGTTCCCTGCAGGCCAGTTCCCAGCAGGGGACGCACGAAAGGCAGTCATACACTGATGTTTCCCTCCCTCCCTCCTTCCTTCCCCTCTAAAGATAAATAAATAAGTAAAATCTTTAAAAAAATTTTTTATAATCATTAGTGACCATAAAGGAATACCCAAGTTATAAAGCATAACAAAATGAACACCCAGAACCTATTACAGATGAAGAAACTTAGGTTGAGGCCCAGCAAGTGACTTAACTAAAGTCAGAAAGCTAGCAGGTGGCAGAGCTCAGGTTCAGATCCAAGTCTCTTCAACTCCTCAACTCCTGTGTGGCATTTTCATGCTACAAACATTAATGGGTGTTATTTGAGAGAAAGTTCTTTGGTTAGTGCTCAGTTAAAGTCAGCAGATTTTTTCACTGTAGTAATTCTCAGATCTGTAAACTCCTTAACATTTTCCAGGTTGATTTGACTATGGGCCTTTGTCCATAGTCTCTTGAGTGACTGATGTTCACAGAGAAAACTGAAAAACTCTGGTTTAGGAGCAGCTCTGAGGGGAAATTCCTAAAATAGGTTATTTTCACTACCCACAGTGTGACATCAAATCATATTGCCAGTTCAGAGGTGCTACCCTCTCAAACTTTTTAATTTGCTCTTGCATCTTGCCTACAGTGGGGCAGGCTGGCCTACAGTGTTTGTGACAGTTAAGCATATGTCTTTACAGCTCCCCTTGAGAAGGGAGCTGACAAGAAGCCATGTAGAGGAAGATGTATCGTCTGGGGTAGTCAAGGGAGTCCTGAGTAGGATGAAAAGGCAGAGAAGGCACTCCCTTCCCTCCAGGCCTGCTGCCGACTATGTTTCTGGCTGAATAAAGGCACCCCAAAGAGGAACTTGGGGTGCCATGTGCCCAATGAGGGGGCTTGGAAAGTTGAGTTTGCTTCTAGATATCAGACCAGAGAGACGTTAGCTGTGAAGAGGACAGCCATCTGCATTCATTGGTCGGTGAGCAGTTTTAAAAGTTGTGTATCTTGATGGAAATAGATATTTGAGTGTGATGGAAATTCTTAAAATATCCCAAACACAGCTGTCTTCAAGATTTTAGAGTCCCTCCTAAATGGAGGTTTTTTGAAAGCTATATTTCAAGTAGACAATCTCTTTTTGAACATTGCATCTACCTTGGCTTCCTCAGCAAGCTGAAGGGTGGGAGAGGGAGGAAGAGATGCTTTTCCTGTCACCACGGTCTGGCCTGAGTCACTCCAGCTGCCTCCAAAGTGACTAAAGGTGTACCGTTTTGAAGGCCCTTTATAAGAAGGCCTTCTTCCATCCTGTACTGGGAGAGTCTTGCTTTGGCTTCTGCCTTCAGGTTTCCATACATGGTTTCTGGACAGAAGTGTTCTGGAGCTTAACATGGTATTTGCCTTCATGTAGATCCTGGACCCTCTCAAATAATGAGGCAGAGGGTTGCCATAAGACCTGAACCATATTTTTTTCTTCTCACCACCCCATGCCCCAGGAATCTTGATTGTCTGTCTACTCTCCATTCTCACCTGCTCTGTTTTCTTTTTTCCAGTGGATATGCTGCTGATGAAATCACTCACTGCATACGGCCTCAGGACATCAAGGAGCGTAGAGCGGTCATCATCCTCAGGAAGTAAGTGGCTAGCACCTGCAGGCCTGCCTGTCTGAAGATGTGGGTCTGGGTTCCTTTGGAACAGGGAGGGGTATGAAACTCATTTTCACCAGGGGCCACATGAGCCTTGTGGTTGCCTTCAAAGGGCCAGCGGTAATTTTAGGACTGTATAACTATTCCTTACCTAGGGGCAAGGAGCTCGGCATTGCCCCTGGGTAGAAACAAGGTGTCGGGCCACATTTGGCCCATGGCCTTGTGTTTGCCACCTGTGATGTAGGACTTAGTTCTTTGTATCAATAGCATGGCAGCCTAAAGCCTGAGAGAAGAAAAAGGTTCTGTGGTCTGTTTTTTTTTTTAACTTGAATTCTGTGAGAATAAAGTATACTTTCTTCCTTAGAAAAGTAAGTTCTGTGGCTGTTTAACTATAGAGAGCTTAGGACTGAACAAAAGCACATGCTGCTAATATTCTTATGGGAATAGTCTTAAGACAGGATTCGGGGAACACTTTTCTACACCCCCGCTTCTTTTCCCCACCTCCTTGATTCTGATTTGTCCCGTGTGTTTTTGCAGATTATTTTTAGACTGTGCCTTAGCAGCCTACTTTAAAAATGCCTAGGTTTTCACTTTTGAGAGGAGCAGGGAGTGAGGGTAGGAAACAAAGGTGGGAGGTTAGGCAGCAGTGTTCCGCAGGTGCATAGTTGTGGCTGTCCCTCCTCTCTGGCCAGGGAGTCAGAGATGTACTGATCAACACTGCCACAACCAGCCTCACAGGCACTTTTTTCATTCTGCTTATGGGGTGAATAGACTGGGCCAGGCAGACACTGAGTCAAGATACACCTGCCTTTAGAATGGAGTGCAGGGTCAGATGAGATGTTAGTGAGAAGAGCATGACTAGAGCTGAGACCCAGGCTAGAACATCCTATAGCTTGCCATCTTTTTTTTTTTTTTTTTAACTTTTTTAGAACCGATTTAGATGACAGAAAATTGTGAAGCTAGTGCTAAGAGGTCCCATGTCACCCATACCCCCTGCCTCCTGTTGATAACATCCTATATTACAGTTAGGAAATGAATATTGACCCATGATTATTTAACTGAAATCCATACTTACTCAGATTTCTTTAGTTTTTCCTAACGTCTTTTTTTGGTTGTAGAATTCCACGTTGTATTTAGTTGTTATGTCACCTTAGTTAGTCTCCTTGGCTATGACTGTTTCTCAGACTTGCCTTACTCATGGTAACATTGGTCAGATGTTTTATTAATATCTCTCAATTCGGATTTGTCTCATATTTTTCTCATGGTTAGATAGGGGTTACAGGTCTTCTCGAGGAAGACTGCAAAGGTATAAAGCACTCTTCTCCTCAATGTCATGTCCAGAGCATGGGACTTAACATTGCTGTTGTTGACATTGATCACTTGGATGGGGTTGTGCTCACCAGATTTCTGCATTCCAGAGTTAAACCTCTCTCCTTTCTGTACCATACCCAGGATGAGGTCTCTGTGTGCAGCTCACATGAAATGGGAAGGTAGCTCTTTTTAAGGGACAAGTAGCCACACAGAGTACTTGGAATTCTGCACAGGAATGACGACTTCTCCCTTGTTTATTTCTTTCTTAAATCATTTACTTACATCAGTATGGTCTCGTGGGTATATATTTTATCCTCAGTTTGTTGCAGGTTTAGTCACTGGGAGCTCTCTCTTTTTTTTTAACATAATGTTTAGTCTTTTTTTTTTTTAAGATTTTATTTATCTTTAGATGGGAAGGAGAGAAATGGAGAGAAACATCAATGTATGGGTGCCTTTTGTGCATCCCCTGCTGGGAACTGGCCTGTAGGGAACCAGCCTATAACCCAGGCACGTGCCCTGACTGGGAATCGAACTGTGATCCTCTGGTTCGCAAGCCTGTGCTCAGTCCACTGAGCTACACCAGCCAGGGAGAGCTCTCTTTAAGTATTTCCTTAACTTGCCTTATTTTATTGTTGTAACTTCAGTTGATAACTTTGGACTTAGAAATTTAGAATTATGTGGTGGGAAGTTTCTTTGGTGTGGCTCTGCCACTTCATCAAGTCAGAACTTTGAACCTCTGTGTTAAAGGAGATGATTTAGACCTGTGATTCAGGCAGAGCATTGGGCATGTTTAGGAGCTCCAGACACAGGTCAGCTTGGCATCTAGCAGCCTCTCTCCTCTAACCAAAGAATGTTCCCACAATTCATCAGAAGAAGACTTTTTATCTGCTTTGTAGTTCTCAGCACAGGCCAAAACCTAGAACCTGGAAGTGATGGAGCCCAGAATACCATTCATTTCTTCTGTTTCTACCTGGCACCACCAGCTGCCACCTGGGTAGTCCACCCAGGCCAGGAACTAGAGAGGAACTCCCAGGATGATACAGAATCAGAGCAGCAACTTCCCAGGTGTTCCCCCCAAGCTTCTGAAAATAGCTTATCTCAGGCAGATCTTCCCTGGAGGTACAAATGGAGGTAGCCAAAGCCAAAGCATCAGCTGTTTCCTTTTTGAATGGTGGCTCCGATACTTGGCTGCCTGGATGCTCCTTGGTGGGCGGAAAGGTCTGTACTGTTATCCAGTTTTTCCAGGAAGTTCTTTAGCCACCTGGGCCCCTGGCAGTGGTCTGACCTCAAGAGAATGGCTATTGTGAGTGACTGAGGCTTTTTGACCTTCTGACTTGAGTGGTCCCAAGAGCCAGCCAGGGACTAGGCTAGAGGGCAGGCACAGATCTGTGGTGTGAGAGGGCTAATGAGGAGTAAGAGGGTGCTCCCCAGCTTCTCCAGGCAGCTAAGGCACAGGCCTGTGTGTTGCCTGCAGAATAAAATGTCTTGTCCAAGCTCCTTATTGGGCTTTATCTATCTATCCAGCCTAATCTCTTCTACTCCTCACTTATGTTAAAGCACCTGCAGTTCCTAGTGTTCTCCTTGGACTTGTGTCCTGGGCTCTTGGAACAGTGTGGCCTTTGTTGGAAATGCTTCTGATCTATACCCTACCCCCCAAATGACCCACATGTACACACTGAAAGTTGGTTAACCTAGCCATCCTTCAAGGCTTAGGTGTTGACTGAGTTGACATTCAGGGAGCATTGTATACACACCTGTAGCAGTCTTACTGTACCTCCTCCCCATTTAAACTGTCATAGCCCACCTACTTGCATTGTGAATTTCCAAATCTGTGTTCTTTAGGGGCAGGGAGATCCCAATCCATCAGGAGCTCAGCATGAGGCGTGGTCCAGAAGACTGTTCAGGCTGAGGAGAAGCAGCTCCAGAGTAGCTGTAGGGGCTTGTCTTGGTAAAGGACAAGCTGGTCCTGGCTGGGTGGATTGAGTGCTGGCCTGTGAGCCAAAAGGTTGCCAATTGGATTCCCAGTGAGAGCGCATGCCTGGGTTGCAGCTGGGTCCTTTATTGGGGGCACGTGAGAGGCAACTCATCGATGTTCCTTTTACACGTTGATATCGTATGGCTCTCTTTTCCTCTCCCTTCCATCCTCTCTGAAAATGAATAAAATCTTTAAAAAAGAGAAAAGGACAAGCTGGTGACAGATGAAAAGGGGAGTGTCTTGGCCCAGGCACTTCCCAGATATCAGGGATGTGGCCTTGGTGGATATCCGGTTGACTCGATGTCTTCTAGTGTAGTCACATTCAGATGGGTAGAACCTGATCATTGAGCCTGGTCCTACTCATAAGCAGAGAGGTAGAGACAGTCTGTCTTCTTAAGATTAGAGGGAAGGCTTAGGGGCTCTGTCACTGGCTCAGGTCAGTCAGCTGGGATGGTCTTTCTCAGGGCCTCATGGGGGGAAATGGGTGGGCGACTGCCAAATGCTTCTAGTTAACTAGAACGCAGCTCCTTTTACTGTGGGTGGTGCTCAGTTTTCATGCGTGTAGAGTCATTGTTTCTCACAGGGAGAACTGGTAGGCTGGGAGTGACTTGAGAGCCTCTGCAGTGGAATCCTTGGGCCTAGTGTTATAATTTGGGGGCACTACCAGTAAATGGCTGAGTAAGGCTCTCCTGGTGCTGGGTCTTGTGGTCCCTTGGTGGGTGGTGCACTGGTGCACCCCGAGCCCTGCTCCTCCACAGAGTGTCAGTGGGGTAGAGGCTATGAGTTTAAGAAACAAACATACAGAAGGGCTTTCTTGCTGCTGCTGTGTAAGTAGAGAGCCGATTGATAAGTGTGTTTTAAGTGACAAGGGGACTACTCTACAGAGAGGGGGTTGAGATGAGGTGAGGTAGTCGCTGCAGGCTGGTCAGCTCCTTGGCATTCCCCAACTTACTGAATGTCACTGTTTCCCAGCCCACCCAGGGCAAGCTGCCCAATACACACGTTTTATCAATCATTGGCACCCTGGGCAGGGAAACTGGACCTAGCCTTTATGAAGGTGTAAAGTTTTAAATTACTGGTTAGAGAATGAAAGATCTCTCACCAACTTCTTGGGTATAACAGTTTAGAGCAGGTGGTAGCAGTGGTCCATATTTTCCCACAGTTCCCTGGTGTGTACCTTCTGAAGGACCTTGCGAGCTGCCCCATGCCAGGCACTCACCTGGCATAGGTGCTAGGCACTGAGTGGAGTGCTGCCTGTGCCCATGCATGCTTGACCACCTTCAGGTGGCACTTCTCTGCAAAGCTAGCTTGGAAGGATCTTTGAGCAGGAATTCCAGACTTAGAAACATTAAGTATCAACCATGCACAAGGCACCTGATGCAAACATGCAGGAAATTTAGCTTCCTTGCTGCTTGGCATGTGATAGGTGGGTATTTTGCATGCCAGTGCAACACAGGCAGAATGAGCACTGTTCTAGAAGCAGAGTATGTTTCCTGAGGCCTGGGGGGTGGGGAATCATATCCAGCTTGGTGGGGTTATAGGGCAGGGGGAGAGGGGGCTGGTGTTTAAGATAGGTTTGGTAGTGGCACACCCACACCTTTCTTCCCTCTCAGGTGTGCCATCTCCTGAACTCTTAAGGGTCCCCATAAGACTTAGAACCAGGGGAACAGTGGGTTGTGGCAGGTCATCTTGCGCTGACCCC